GGGATATATATATAAATAAATTAATTCCATAACTGGGCATCCAAGACAGAGGCCCAGAGAATGCGCCCAGACCCTGCAGCCCCCTCAGGACAGCCCTGCAGAGGCCTGATCCTTCAGAGGTGCTAGTAGCCTTCGGCTCTAGAAAGGAATAACACGATCCAAGGGCTGGAAGCTGAAACGAGGCCAATTTGGACAGGAAATAAGGCGTAAATGTGGAACAGCAAGAGTCCTTAACCCCTGGACCAATTTACCAAGGGTCCTGGTAGATTCTCCGTCTCTGGCCACTGTTAATTGGCTGGGTTTCTAAAGTCCCGGCTCCGGGAATCATTTTGGGGCAGGTCCCTGGCCTGTCTTTTATACAGGAGGTCAGACCCGACAATCACAGTGGTCCCTTCCGGCCTGGGAATATGTGCTTGGCTACCGTGAGCCTCGACGTCGGGCAATGGCAGGTTTGGGCCCCTGAAAGCTGAGCCTCTTAGCAGCCTAAATGGGGACTGAGCCCCTGACCCTGCTAGCACTTGTGTGCGTAGGAGTCTGCGGGATCAGGCCCCTCCGTGGTCACCCCGTGTGAGGCTGGATTTGAGGATGTTGGTCTCCAGCTTCCTACTTCCGGTTGCCTACCTGTAGAGGCTGGCTGGTGATAAGATGGGGGTGCCATGGGTCTGCCCTGAGGCAGAGCTGGGCCCAGCACTTACTGCTTCCACAGCACGGCTCGAACGTAAAGTATCGGTATGTAAATCAGTTGTGAGTCAGCCTCGTCTCTGCTTTGCAGTGAGTCTGTCACATAGCGGAGTTACTTCACCTTCCGCCCCTCCTCACCCCGCCTACCCCCTGCGGTCACTCCAGCCAGATGGCAGGGCTAGGCTAGACGTCCTGTTTTTGACCCTTAGACTTCTGCCTCTAAACCAGTGCTGGGCAACCTATGGCCCTAGAGCCACACGTGGCCCTTTGGGGTTCTCCGTGTGGCCCACGAGCCGCAGGGTTGCCAGATTCCGCTGGAGTTTTGTCCGCCTCGTTTTTCTCCTGCCCGTGTTGCAAAACCGACACACACGTAAAACGAGGGCCGGTGAAGTGAGGTGCATGCTGATTGGCTGAGAGCCATGCGCTCCCTCTGCAGCCCGTCAGAGCGTGGCTGTGGACCGATGAGCACCCCTGCAAATTCTAGGTCTGCCAGTGCAGTCAGCACAACGCCCCCGTTTTGGGAGACCACCTTGCTTATGGCAGCCTGGCGGCCCACTGAGATGGAGGAGGGCCATGCACCAGCCCCGGTTGCCCTCGCTGTTCTCAGTTCTGCAGGTTGGACTGGGGCTGTCCTAGGGGTTAGCCCGGATCGTTGTCTTCACATTGTTAACCCACCCAGGGTTTTGCTCTGGGTGTTGGTTGTTAAAGGTCATTTGTCACCCAAACCCTCCCCGCAGCTCACCTGCATAGCGGGTCCCAGGGAGCAGGGGGGCGGGAGGGGGTAATTCTAGTCTTCGTCGCATGGGCTGGGGGCTGCGTACAGCCAGAGCGAGGTCTTCGTGGTAGAAGGGCTGATCTCTGGTGCGCCCCGCTTGGTGCCCTCGAGATACTTGGCCGCTGCCCAGTGAATCGGAAGCCATGCGGCCCAGAGACAATGCTGAGTACAGTGCTGCTGGGTCAGGCGTTAGCTTGTGACCCGCTTGAGGCGAAGAAATGGACGCGCTGCTGGCATACACCTACAGCCCCCTCCTGCGGCCGCAACCGGCCACCCAGGCTAGGGAGTAGGCCGCAGGAGCGTCCCTCTGTTGTAACCAAGGCGATCGGCCGGGACAGGGTAGTTTTGCTCCCTGCGTTGCTGGACCTAGAATGTGTGGGAGCCACTGGGCAGTGACTGGCTGGCAGCCCTGTGTGTGGGCAACACAAACTGTCTGGTGGGCTCTGCATAAAACCCTGATGCCCACCCCGGTCCACAGGTGTTACAAGAGAATCCGCCCGGCCCCTGGATGGCTGAGCGTGGCCAGAGGGCCTTGTGGCATCTCTGCTCTGCTACCCGCCAGCTGGTTTTCCAGAGGCTCCTTGGATCAGCCCCCAGCTGCTCCCCGGGCTACAACTCAGAGCCATAGGGACAGGAATCGCCCTGTTGCCAGCTCCGTGCCCACATCACGGTCTGTCTGCAGCCGTTCGAAGCCCGCAGCCAGCCCCTGCCCTCGGGCTGTTTAATGGCAGGGGGGGGG